GTAGCGATGCCAGGAGCCCCTAGCGTCCTTGCTCCGTTCGTAGCGATGCCAGGAGCCCCTAGCGTCCTTGCTCCCAGTAGTGAGGCCAGGAGCCCCTAGTAGCGATTCCCGGAGCTCCTGGTAGCTTCTTGTTCCTAGACTTCCAGTTCTGCCGTTCTGGATCGGGTAGATGGCTGAAAACGTCACAAGTGATTGAGTTTCTGCATATTCTCTTTGCAAGGTTTCGACCACCCCCAAAGGTGGTGGAGATTCTGAACAGCAGCCGTGCTCTTCTTTTCGCTGCCAAAAAGGAGCATGACGGGTTCGCTGCCGGGAAGCAGCGCCGCCGACTCTGTGAGCCCACGCCACCCTACACTCCCTGGGTCGGACATCATGACATGGATGGAAGCCTGGCCAGTCGACTCGGAGGACCCGAAGGACATCCGAAGACCAGTCCGTGGTGGTGCCCTCCACGTACCCATGTGAATGACAGACGGAGGGTACCACTGCTGAGAGGATATAATGTGATATAACATTTGGTAATAGATCAGAACATGGCGTCTGCAGCTTCCACATTGACATGGCCATCATCGCTTTTTGTCATCGCGGTCCCACTCGTGGTTCTTTGTTAGTTTCTTTTCTTTTTGAAGACACCGGACAACGGTTCAAACATCGACACCGGGGTGCGTTAGCGCTAGCTAGCTGCCCTGTCATCGCCGGTTAGACGGGGTCTCGAGATGCCCAGTCCCGAGGGAAAGCGGGATCGAACGGCGAGTCGAGTCGGCTCCAAGGATCGTCCCCGGAGCGTTGGTGCCTGGGCGAGGACCGGTGGAACACACCCCACACCGCACACTGGGCGCGGTTGGCTCGTGTGCGCGCCTGGGTTTTTCGTGAAGGACACGCTCAAGTCCACCCCTTAGAATCAGAACAAGTACCACTCCCTAGGGACTATTAAAGAAGGTCTGCGAAGAGAGCCATTCTCTCCATCTATTTTGGAGTGAAGAGCCGTGAAAGCTGAGACGAGGTATGGGAAGCCCGGCGATGCTGGCCCTTGTTTAGGCCTGAACTGCTGAACCCTCTGATGATAGATCATGTGACAATGTGGTTCAAAATGTGATTCCCCCTATCAGCCATTCCAAAGAATTGGTCCTGAGCTATCCAATGAGTGAATTCGCATCCAGGGCACCGTCGCCGTCGCGCGCCCCCTCGGCACCTCCCTGTGCGCCCGCGTGCCAACCCTCGCTCCTCCGGTGCGAAGTGGGCCGTCTTGAGACCAGGTCGGCCAGGTGTGCCGACAGCACTCGACCCGACTCGACCTCCCTTCACCTGCACCTTCCTCGGGCGACCCGTCCGCCGGCCTCGCAACCATCGACCAGGGCGAAGTCCGGTCAGAGACGGTCGGCCCAGGTCGGCCCACAGGTCTCAATTTTGACGAAGTGGGATGCTGGTGGGATGCTGGTACATGAAAGCGCACCCCACAGATACTGGGTCTTGATCTGCCATGCCCGGATCCTGTTCTCCGGTCTCCGCAAACCTCTCTTTTGGTCCAATGGACGCTGTTGAAACTGCGTTTCGCTCAGGAGGATCGCAAGAAGCGCCAGCCTCCAGACTGGGTTTGGGGGCTCAGCACGTGCGAAGCCGGCGAAAACGAGCAGCCGGTGACCTGTGGCATGTTTCGGTTGAATGCACAACTACCATTTCGGTTGGCATCCAAAGACCTAGGGTGCATGATGCAATATTCCAGGCGAACATTCCTGGGATGCCTGAAGACCCGTATGCAGGCCGCAAAACGTCGCTTATTTCGGTAGCCTTTTATGGTGTGGAGGGGCAGGTCATAGGAGACGCACACTTCACACAGCTTCGACGATGTGCAACAGATGCCTTGATAGGGAAACACAAATTTGCGTCTTCATATCTGGCTATGCAGTACATTTCGGATAAAGTAATGGATCCCCAGTTATATGTCATTGTCTCTGGCCTATGTGCCATTTGTCGCTTGTATCATCATCACCCCAGCCTGGCTGGAGAGTTTTGGCATAAGGTGTTAGAAGAAGCCACTCCAAGAGGACCAGCTAGTGCACTTGCAGCCTACCTTCGTAAACTCAATTGGACACCAGAGGAAAATGGGGTGATTTTCATACCAAGTGGTCATCAAATTTGTTTAACACATCAGCCTACACGTGAAATCATGATGGTATGCCGCTTGGCATGGTCCCACTATGTTCATCAACAGGTGTGTCATCGAAAAGGGGTGACAGCTGCGCCTTTTGATGTCTATACGCATTTGAAGCTGTTTCAAAAACTGACTCCCAGAGAACAACAACTTCTCTCGCTCAATATCACTGGAGGCTATCAAACATCAGCCATTAAAGCTGTATGGGACAACACTCATACTCCCGAGTGCGAATTTTGCTCACAACCGGATACCCATCAACATCGCCTGTTGGATTGCCCTCAGTTTGCCCATGTCCGTGCAAATCATCTAGGGGCTGTTCAAACACTTCAGACGCACTCACATTTGTGCAAAAATACATGTATAATCGCCTAAAGCTCAGCCGAGAGGGCCCTTTTTTGCATCCACTGCACACCTACACAGACACCCGGGTCCAAGTGTATACAGACGGAACTTGCGATCTTCCCAGAGAAAAGAACTGCTGCCGCAGCATGGGCAGCAATTAGACGAGTTCACACAAACACTGTTGACCCTTCATTTATGTAATGACTTTGAAGTTTTGCAGGTATCACATGTGCAGGGGGAACAAACCATCAACAGAGGCGAATTGGCCTTGGCGGCATCCGGTGCCAATGCTTGATTTATTCAGAGACTCGAGCTTTGTTGAACGTCTGGCGACAGCAGTCGCCACACAGACCTTAGATCCCACTCAATACAACATTGCTCACTATGATCTAGTTCAGGTCTTACAGACTACCTGGAACCCGGCACTGTTTCAGATCCATAAAGTTAAATCTCATTGCCCACTGTCCCAAGCCACAGATGTAAATCATTTATATAGGGTTCTTGGGAACACAGTAGCAGATGAAACCGCCACACTTGTCAATAAGCAAGATATCCCGGTCATGCAGAATGCATGTCATAGCATCCAGTGTCATAGTCGCGTCCAGACCCAGACCCTATCCAAAATATATGCATATCTGTGTGATCTTAATTCTTTGCATATGACTCGCAGAATTGAAAAAGAGAAAAGTCAGGCAGAAGAAAGTGATCTTAACAATAGTGATGCCATTGCTCACATTCAACAAGTCCTGTGCGATTGGGTCCCAGATGGTCCTTACTGGTATTTCGACGAGTCCCTCCACCCCGTAATTGCGCGTGCGTGCCCAGCAGGGGGCCAGATCGCCCGTTGTGTCTGGCTTTTTTTCCAACAATTAGAGTGGAGACATCCAGATCTCGCCTTACAGAAATCAGACTTTGGTGTGACGTGGTACGAATTAACCATTCATTTTTCACTGTACGCCGGACGCTGCCTTCCAATTTGGATTAAACATAAAGGTCAAGATCACGCATGGCCGTACGCCTTTGACTCCCCGGAGGTTGCCATTTTAAAAAGTACCTTGAGAACTCCACAGGCAAACACCTGTACCCCAGGTACAAGAAAACTGGTGCATCGACCATGATTCGTCTCGGATACCATAGGAGTTTGGTCGGTGGCATTGCATCACGCCCACGCCTTCCACAAAAAGATCTCGCCATGAAATTTATTTTGGATTACTCTTCACGCCTAAACTTGATGTATCATGCATTTCAGAAACCTTTCCACTGGATAAATCTCTTGCCGACCGACATAACTTGTACCAGCGTGTTCGTAAATGCCTGCGTACCAAGAAATGCCTAGATTCAACAGTGTTCGATCCCTGAATTAGGAATTTGCTTTGTTCGTGCTTCGTGAGCATAATTCACACAGACATTATGTGTGGGAGGATACATGTTTTTGTTATGTATTTCTGTACAGTTACTCCTCAAGTACCCCCCATAGGGTAAGGGCATTGAGGTGCGACACAGACATGTGCGCAAGGTTTGTGTGGTAGGAGGTGAGCTCGGTATTTTGATGCCTTTTTGTATGAGTGTGGACACCCGTTCAGGGGTACAAGTTTAGGACTGCGACACTCCCTGAAACAATCACGGGGCCCTTTTTGGTTTGGCACGGCCCCGATTTCGGATGACCATGTTCCGCATACCAAACGGGTGGTGCCCTCCACTTAACCATGATGATTTCAAGGAATGTAATTGGTGGTTTATGGCTCCAGTAAGGGGGGAGAGTCCATTCACATTCCATGCGCTCGGTACTGGGCTCTACTGGGCTCGGTACTCCTCAGGTTCTCCAAGGCGACCGAGAGAGAATCCACGAGGCCAGGTGGGTGGAGGTGCAGGTTCGGCCCGATCGGCACACGAACGAACACTTGGCTCGTTCTTTCTTTGCTTTTCTGTTCTGTTATTTGTTCAGTTCTTTTTCAATTCTGTTCTGTTCTCTTCTTTCTTCGGATTTTGGGACGTTCTTCTTGCTCCGAAGCAAGTCGATGAACGGAAACGAAGCGCTTCGCAGGCTGTGGGAAGACTTCGGATTGAGGCTCCCCCCACGAGTCAACGGACGGAGTCATCGAACGAGTGACGGACTTCTGTGGACGACCAATCCGTCGCGAAGGAAAGTTGCATTCACCAGGACCCTCCGACAGGTCACCAATTGAGACCTGTTAGGGTCCAACAACCCTCAACTAACAGCCTGTTGGAGGGTGCTGGCAGAGGATGACATGGGGATGGGTCGTGACCCACCATCTTCACCCGGCCAGTCCACCAGACCATGCTTGCCGCGGAGTTGAGGTCGACACCAGGTAGGTCAACGAGGTCAGTCGACCTACTTGCCATTGACCCACAGCCACAGCCAAATGATGAAAAGGGCGTTTTTGTTAAAGTTTTTCCACATCCCCGTCTTGCAGATCCAAAGACCGCAGTTTACTGAGAAGAGTCGAAGTCGAAGTGTGAAGGTTTTGTATATATACATATATATATATATATATACCAGGGCCTTCAAGGGGTGGTTAATGGACACCCCCTAATGGCTAAGGGGTTAGACATAGACACCCCTTGGAGGGTCCTGGTAGAAGGGTCTGAGTCTTTGGGCATCATCTTTGTAATTGTCAAGACATCCAGATGAACTTCACCCAGAGCTGGCATGGGATGCTCCTGGTGGACAATCTCCTGGTGGACCAACTCTTGCGATAGCTTGGAGCAACTGCATTCATGCTTTGCTGCACATTTGTCTCGGCAGTCCTCGACATTCTTCGGCAACATGTCTCAGCATCAGGGAGCATTTGATTTGAGGATTTCTTTCTGACATTTTCTGCAGGGGCATGTCGTAGTTCGATACTGGAGCTCGATGTCTTCTGCCTTCTGTTTGGACATGCCTGCAACAAGGAGGTTGGCCTGTTTAAGGAGTACAGTGAGTACAGCCTGAAGGAGTGCAAACAAGCCTCCTGTTGAATTGCAAGATGGTTTGGGAAAGGGATGGGTCGGTCCATGCTCTCCGGAATGATGTGGAGTGGCCTCACACGATGCACGTTGTTCAGGCTAGGATGCAACCGAATCAAAGATGTTTTTTCGGTCATGCGCACAAATCCTAGGAGGCCGCGTGCACAAGACAGAAAGAAGAGAAAAGACATGAACAAAAAAGACAAGAAGTTACCCGGCTGATCACTAACAGGGACCTTGAAAACCACTGGCTTGTAAAGGAAACAGTCTGACTCAGGTTGCCATTCGACCCGGCATTCATGTTAGTTTTCGGGAGTGTATTGCAGGGCTCCAAGATGGATGAGTCCTGCACCGGCTTCGCATGGCGTCCCGGGAAGGATAAGCGTGGTGGCCGAGTGGGAGCTGTCGAAGACATCAGAGAGATCAGAGATGCGTGATAGGGTACCGAACTTGCGAGTGGGTGATAGAGTACCCATGGGTACTGAAAGGCCGTGGCTTGGAGTTACAGCCACTCCAAAGTCGTTGACGATTCTTGCTCTCAGACTGTGATTTACGAGCTCAATCAGTTTCCTAGACTGCAAGTTGGGATCTGATCCTATTTTCATTGGTCAAAAAGAACTGAGCCGGTGGCTGCCACCCTTGGAGTTGGCTTCCAGTCGGCGAGTTCGTTGTCGGTGCCCTGGTGCCCTCCACGTCGCGTCGCGGCAAGCGCTTGGCAGCTTCCGCCGTTCCTGAGGTGTACACAAGGCATTTGGCTCTGGAGCACCCCCTTCGTGTTCCCAGACAAGGACCGACTCTCTGTTCAGAAGTCGTCTTTCTTTTTTTTCCCAGGAGAAAGCCTCGCTCTCGCGGAGGACGCGCCGGAGTGTGCTTTTTATTTTTTTTACTTTTTCGAGCATCTTTTTTGTTTTGGCTGCTTCGGACACGAAAGCTCCGGGTAGACTTCTGAAGAATTCCAAGTCCAACCTCTCCACCAAGTCCCCGGCCTTCTTGTTCCAGGGTTTAGAGAGTGTAGGGCCTCACTTTAGAGGGCAGTCGTCCCATCAAGCCCGCACAAGGTTGGACGGTGGTTGCTTCTTCCCTCTTCGATGTGCCACGATGGCACCAAGTTCCTAGGGACAACCCCAGGTGCCACGTGGATGGGCTTGATCGTTGCGTCTGTCCATCGGTTCCGAACGTTCCGCACCGCCGGGGTTGGGTGGGAAGCATGGACTTCGCAGAGTCCGCCGAGTCTTGGCCAGTTCTTCTAGTCCTGAGCTGGTGACGAGAAGACCTTCCTGTGATTCCTAACTCTTCAGAACAAAACAACGGATGAACCAGCTTTGGGGAGAGGACAGCACAGAGCGGAAGCCCGCAGTTTGAGGTTCCCCCCCAGAGAGAGAGAGAGAGTTCGCTTCGGCCGTACTCCACCGATCCGCAAAAAAGGACGCTCCGCTCCGTGGTCCGCAGGACGGCCGAAAGGTTGCCGTCCTGCTGATGGACACGCAAGGTGCGGTACCGGCCGTCGCGGAGGGGGTGTGGAGCGGGGACCCCAACGGGTTGGATGGCTGGATAGATGGATGGAAGTGGATGCAAGAGGGTGGGGGGATGGATGGAAGGGCTGAACGGTGGAGTGCCCTTCTCCATTGACTTGATTTTTTTTGCGAAACGAACCATAAGGACGCCATGGCGTTTTGGGGTTAAGAAGATTGCTTTTCAAAGGAAAAAGGGGACGATGGCTGAGCTGACCATGTTTGGATCCATCATGTTATATAGCTGTTGTTTGATCAATCCCACTACCTGGATGGTCAAAGGTCTCGACATAAACCGATTTGTAAAGGATAAATAAGTACCCTACAAACTCGATGAAGTCCCCATCAGCGCTCTACAGGTCCTCAGTTCCAATGCTCTCCCGGCCCTTTTCTTTCTTTTTAGGCGCGGGGGGGGAAACAAACCACAAACACTTGAAACTTTTGGAAAGTCGCTTCATGTCGCTTCCCACTTTCCACCTTTTAAGAGTGTGCGCGACCAAACGCGCGACTGGCACGCGGCTGGAATGCGGCCACCCTGCCGAAAGTGAGGCCGGACGCGGCCAGACGTCCGGCCGGATGTGCAGCCGGACAAGCCCAAAAACGAGTATATATAAATATAAATATATATATATATATAAATATTTCAAGCGCTTGCACCGGGTTCCTTGCCATATCAGCCGTCTGGTGGGTGTCAGGGGCTTCGTTTCCTCTTAGAGTGTAAATACTGGTCAAGGTTGCACCGACATCTTGTGGGCGCTCGCGCAGGCATTCTGGCGGGAGGTGCGCATTCTTTCGACCCGTCCACGCTTGAAAGAAGGGATGAAACGGAACCCTGCTGCAGTTTTTCCCCAAACAGTGTGTCTGCACTGGAGGTTCTTAGATCGGAGGTGCGCTGCTATGAACTCTGAATTCATTCACGTCGAGATCTTCGATATGCATTCCGACTGCGCAGGCTCGCAGAATCTGCTGGGCGCGAACAGGTGTTCTTCGAGACTTTGCGCAAGAGAAACCAGAAGCAGTCCTTTGAGGACCTTGGAGCACAGATTTCGTGGCAGGCGCAACACTTTGTGCACCTTGAGTGGACTTTGACGTGCAGGTGCAATACTTTGTGGACCTTGAAGTGCAGATTTTCCGTAAGGATCCTCGATGATGCGCCTATGGACCCCCTAGCCTAGGGCCTGGGACTTCATTGCCCTAAGGCCCTAAGGCCAGCGAAATGCACGCGTGGTGGCAGTCACAATGTAGCAATTTGCATGAAATGCGCTAGTGGCGACGTTCCCTTGTTTATGCCACGCTCCTGGCACAGACCATATACGGGTGCTTTTACAAAGCAGACCACAATTTGGGTTTGGTCTTCGTGGCGTGTGTTTTCTGGGTGCGCGACGTGACGTGGAGCCCTGCACGGCAGGTGCCTGGGATGATACCATGACCAAAGCACAGAGGTGCGATTTGGATTCGACCCGGATTTTCCGTTGTTTTTTTACATTTATTTGTTGAAGGCCGTGAACGAATTGCAATTTAAGGATGTTTTTGTTTCTCAAGTATTGAACAACATTGAGTACTTCAGGGTGTCATTCGAGAGCACCAGCTGTCATGTTGATGGCGAGGTGGATAGCACTCTCAAACAGGACAATTGACTTGCCCTGGCGAGCCATTTCAATTAGCCCACATGTCCCATCGCTTTGGTGAGGCGTTTGAGATCTGTCTTCCACATCCGTTGGTATTTCAGGATGGTCTGAATTTCCAGTGTTTTTCCAAGCGGAGCTGGCGTTTCACTCACCCAACAACAGAATCGACACTTTGTGACTAGGTTCTTTTCGCAATCACATGTCCACTTGAGTCAATCCCACCGCCGACAACGGTCAGTAAAGACGACATGTGCATCGTTCCTTTTAGGGGCCTTTACTGACTTATCCATCATCACCATGCAACATCCATCCTTCGTTGTCGGGAACATCTTCCCTGCATCCCCATCATTTGCCCCGCCAGCGCCACGATCTTCGGCTTGACGGCCTTGCTCTCCTCGAAGTTGTGTCTTGGCCGAACCCGTTTTGGGCCGAGCGATCAGGCGGATAGAGGACTTGGATGAGTTCGTTTGGGATGGACGTGGTGACATGGGTACAGAAGCACCAAGCCTTTGTGGGACACATCGACCCCAACATGCTGTGACTGCCTGGGACACATCGACTCCTTCAGATCATTGCTTCTTTCGCAGGTAGAATCTAAATACTTTTCCATACTTTTCCATACTTTTCCAGGGTTCCCCTTTTCAATGTTGAGTCTATGTTGGATGCTTTGGCCTGGGCTGTGAAGGGAGGAGGGGGGAAGACAAATCAGTGACATCCTTTGATGTTTTGGCTGTGACAACCGCCCTTCTGCGGTTTTCCATGGTTTTCCCCTTTGTGAGGCCCCTCTGACGACGGCGTGTCGCCGTCACGGTGGATTGGAGTGGTCCCGGTCGTGGCACGGTTTCCATGTGGAAAGGGATTCTATTTAACGAGTCCAACAAATCCGCATTCCTCCGGTCCACCTCTGAGAGGATTTGTTCCGTTTTTGAACCTTGAGCCCCGGTTGAAAGGGAGCTCACCTTCAAAAAGGAGAAAGCTTTGGGTCGTGAACCCGCCTGGGCGGCTTTTCACGTGCTTCATGGCGTTGGTTTTCCCCCCGACCCGCGGGTTCGGACGCGACCGGTCGGGACCCGGACGCCAGGATTTACAACATCCAGAACCGAGTAGAGGAGGACAAGGTGGGAAAAGCAGCGATTTCGCGCCCTGCCGCCCTGCAGACCCGCCGCCGCCGCCGCCGGAAGCCACCGGACCGGACCCGGTGCCCGAACGAGACCGGACACGGGGTGGAGGTGGAAACCCGAAAGCGCCGGTGGAGGGTGAATCGTGGGTGGGTGTCGACGGTTGATGAATCAAACAGCCTATAGCGCCTCGCTCTTCCCTGATTTCGGTGGTATTTCCACTATACTGGGGGTATGTATGAACCAAACCGCCTTCATTACAGTATCGGAACTTGGTCAAGATTGCACAGGATTGACCCCACTATCCAATGGGATCAGTGAAGCCTTGCAGGATGAAGCCAAGTGAGCCAGATGCTGGATAAATGCCACTCCACTCCACTCCACTCCACTGCCCACAGCTATCCTTCGTTTTCCCTGCAACGCGTAGGGACACCCTGAAACACTCCGAAGTCGGCTCGCCGTCCGCCCCCTCCGTGCACTCGCCGCCGACTTCCGATGCCGCAGCCGAACCGGCACGGCAGCGGCGTTCGAAGCGTCGGCAGTTGGAGAACATGGATTACATCACCACCTTCGCGCCGCTTGGGCAGAGACCGCACCGGGGTCCAAGGGTGGGAGAGAATGGTCAAATGGCATGAGTCGAGTGCAAGGGGTCCAAAAACGCTGGTTGACCTGAGAGGCTGGTTGACCCTGAACATGAACAGAGCAACAGATTCCTCTATTAAGGGATATCAACCGAAACCATGGTTTGTAGGGCACTCACTGAGCACGGTCGCAAATCGTCCGCCCCTGATCTACGCCCCTTGATCTAGGATCAGGTGCAGAAGGGGGTTTGCACACAACAACACCCAATGTCATGAATGAGCCCGAATGAGCCGCGGGAAGCCACAAGAGGTGTAGGAAAAGAAAGGCAAAGCAGGACAGCCAAAAAAGGCGAGTGCAACATCGAGGATTACGAAAGGAAACTGACTCTTGAACTCCAAGAAGGTGTAAGAAATCTGGGTTAAGCACAGTTTGTACTGAATTTGCAAGAGATCTGTGATAGGTCGAGGATATGAATTTAATCCGGAGATGGGTCTGCCATTTGGTTCCATGCCGAGTTTTTACGCATCCTTTAGTTGAATACGTTGCGTGAGTGGAAGGAGAATGGTTTGCAGGGTGAGTTTGACCCCCCACCCAGATTGGCACAAACAGATCCACTTGGATGATCACCACGGTGGATGACGTGGTCTCCGGATTGGTCGCCCAACGCAGGACGCCACGGAATGGGAGACTAGAACGTTCTGAAAGCTGAGCATGTAAACCTTTCAGGATGGTCCAGATACACTCCCTGAAATCATGGTTACGTATCCAGACACTCCAGTATGCCATAGGACTGCCTTCAAAACGGCCAGGGGTGGGGCCACTGGGGGTCTTTCTGGGGCGGCAGTCCGGCAGTCCCGGGTCGTGTCTGGGGCAGCAGTACCTGGCATGGCCCCCGAAGACTCAGACCCCATGAGTTTTCAGACTCAACAGGTTTTCACTCCACGAAACCATGATGAGAAATCAAGTGGAGTGACTTGAGAGACCCCTATACTGTATATATATATATATAACATATATAGTGGTCCCCAAATAGATAGAAAAGTAATGAAAAGTAGATCCCCACTAAGAATGTATTGGCATGTGTTTCTATCTATTTGGGAACCACTATACATGTTAAAGTGTGTATATCGCTTTAACAGGGAACATGGAGAATGCCCGTCACTGTGGATTTATTTTTTTGTCACGGTGGAGAGAGACCTTATCTTCATCCCAGATAAAGTTCGAGCCCAAACATTTCAACACAGGAGCATGCGAGCTAGAATCTCACCTACCGGTTTTGATGCTGTAGCATGCTTGAAGCCTTTTCGATCGCCGAATGAATGCGGATTACAGTTAGTGCCTGGTTTTCGACCCATCATCATCACACTGCTACTGCTACGCAAACTCTTCAGTAGATTGCGCATGAACTTCACCATTCCAGGCGTCCGTTGTGCGAAGTTTGTCTGGCTTCTTGAACCCCAAAAAACAGTTTTCAATTGGATCCCCAAAAAAGCCTAGCCTAACCCCACAGGCGCACCGGCGCACGCGCGCGCCGCGCGCGATCGGCGGCGAGGCAAACCGTGTGTAGCGACCTCCCAGGGAAGGATGCGCCGTGCGGCGGCCCGGGATGGAGCCCGTGAAGTCGGTTCACGGCCGTCGGGAAGGAAGGTGGATCCGGTGGATCCCGTTGTTGTTTTTTCTACGGAAGAAAACCTCTGTTAGAGTCTGTTAGTATATTGGACCATATAGTAACGTATCCGTATGTAGTGTTTCGAAAAGAACGACGGGTCATGGAAAAACACAGTCGATGACACTGGAAGCAAACACGCTGGGATCAGTACATCCTGTGTGTTGCGTGCCAGGGCCATGTCCGACTCTTCCCCAGACCCGTGTGCCGCCACACCTATGCCGCTACAGTTCCGGCCCGGCCGCGACCGGTCGAGGTTCGGGCATCTGGAGCTGTTGGTGCGCGACTGGGTGAACTACGAGGCCCAGCTGGGTCGTTCTGGCGGGAGCCGACTCCGAGAAGACCAGTGAAAGCGAGCGGCCCAGCGGGTCTTGTAGTCTAAAGTCCTTAGATGTCCTTAGTAAAACCAAGGGTTTGTTCCATGTTGCTCAGCATTAAACTAAAAAAACACCCAGGGAAGAAGACCCTTTTTTCGAAGAACACTGGACTTCTGATTCGCCGCAGAAACTCTAGAGATCGGACCAGCCTGGCGCCATGGCAGGATGGTTTCAGCCTGGCGCAATGCAAGGCCCGAGCGGGGGGGCTTGGGCCCTTGGGCCCCAGAGCCAGTCGTCGGGACGTGTCGATAGGGTTCATGGGCTCGGTGGAGTCGGGACGTGGGTGCTGAAGTGGTTCTTGTAGATGACGGCCAAACCCATCCGACCTCCCAGGCAATCCCACCTCTCACCTCCCTCCCATGGGCCCTCCGTGTTGGAATGTTCTGGACCGGGGGAAAGCGCAGAGCCTTCCGGAAATGGCTCCCAGTCTGTGGTCTACCCACTCTGCCGACGGATGAACCAGCTCTTTTGCGTCAGGAACAGATGCAAGAACACTTGGACGACCACCTCAGTGAGAAGAAAGTCCCAGAGGTGCCGGGCTTTGTTCCACCCACAGCACCAAAAAATAGCGCGTGCGCGCACATGTTCTGTGCCGCGCCGATTTGCGGTGGGGAACTCTTGCAGAGGTTTTTCCAGAATTGAGACTGTTGATTGACGATCAAAAAGGACACCTCATACCAGCACCCTCCTGGCCAGGCTGTTAGTTGAGGGTTGTTGGACCCTAACAGGTCTCAATTGGTGACCTTGTGAGTCGGGTCCTGGTAGGATTGAAGAGTTTTTACGTGATTTTACAATCCCCCAAATGGGATTGATCAGTCTACAGGACCTGTGTTCTACACGTCGCACCGTTAAAATCGCCCCGGAACTCCACCACGAAGCCGACCAGTGTCACACGTTCGTTTCAGAACGTAGTGATTCTAAGTGAAAAGAGACATGACCAGGTGCCGGCCTGTGGAACCTGACAACTTGACCTGAACAGCTGAAGTTTCTTTGTTCTTCACAGCTGAAGGTATCCAGAGTTGGCTGCGGAAGCCGAGCGGTGGAAAGACCGTGCGCATCAATCAAGCACGAGAGTACAGCTTGCTGTACAGCACACTGAGAGACACAGAATCGCCCAAAGAGAAGAGGTGGACAAAACACACTTCCATTCGCATAAATCAACAAGTTGAGGATTTTTTGAGGGGACACATTGGGACACCTTGCGTGTGGTGGACATTGGCAGCATTTAGACCTCAGTTTGGGAGCCTGACCTGTCCAAATTGACAGCCTTGATTCGGACTGTGAGAGATCCTTCCCTTCGACAGGACGCGAAACCCAGGGTCCGGAGCCTTGGCCGGTCCCGCGGCCGGTGACCCACGACCCGGGTCCCGCGAGACCGGGTCCGGCGACCGAGTGAGTCTGGAGGTCCATTCGGTGACCCTCCCAACAATCATGGAAGTGGACAACCCCCTCTTGGCAGAGGAAAGTAGTCTTCCAAGTAGCGGCCATTTTTTCCACTCCATGATTGTTGGAGGGGGAGGGGGTAATCCGGATGGGCCATGGCGACAGTTCTGTCGAGGTGATTCAACAAGCCTAAAAAAGCCGCCACGGTTGCCCATGAATCAAAGCTAAGGATCCTCGAAGGTGCGAACAGAGCAAAAGCCACAAGTCCATTCCGCTCCCCTTCATGCTGCATTCTCATGAAAACACCCCACTTCACCTCACACACACACACACCACACATCTGATCTCTGCAAACCTCCACAGATGCCGGACCTTCGTTCGGCGCGGAACTTCGCCCCCGTTCTCCCTGCGCGCACCAGAGCCCTCGCCCGGTTGTGCCCCGGTTGTGCGTTCTGCCTCGGTTCCCCAGGTTGAGCGTTTGAAAAGCACCTTCCGGAGCGCCTCGGCCTGGACCGGGCGCACCGGCGGGTTCTCGGTGGGTGGATGGTCTGGAGGTGTTGGGATCGGTGTGGATCAGATGGAGGGGTCAGCTCTCGAACGAAAAAATGGGAGGTCTACGGTGCTGAGAACACATGTGCAAAATGGAAGGATCCACTGTTAGTTTCGTCCCAAGAATGGATCGTGTATAGATGGTTGATTCATAGGACTTCTCGTATGAAGAAGTTTAGTTTTACGATGGATCCTCATGCCGCTGTTGGACCAGAGTATCCACAGTGGCGTGGTGGGCAGACCCAATTTCGGGGTGGTGGGCAGAGTCGGAAGCGAGCGCGACAGAAGAGGTTTTACAATCACTTACAATCTAAATGAGAGATGTTTTATCATTAATTAGTCTACATTACTACAACGAAGAACGTCGTTATGTAAGTGATGTACCACACTTCATCACACGTCATCACTCACCGTCACTGGAAAAACACTTCACGCGCCCGCTGCGCTCCCCCTCCGCTCAGCTGCGCTACAGCTGACGTCGATGCGAGGCATTGATGCCTGGGGGTTGCCTCACCCGGGTCTCAAGGTCACCAAGTCCGGTGCCCCGGTGGCGGCGGAAGGATGTGGAAGGCGTACCTTGGGGAAGCCATGAGTGGGGAAGACGCTGCAAAACCCAAGGCTTTCACGGCTTTCATCTTTTTTCCTGAAGGTGTATGAATTGGAATTTGTATGTTTTGTTGTATGTTTATATGATTGTTAATGTATATGTTTAATATATTTGTGTATGTTTGATGTGTTTTATCGGTTCCAACGATTTCTTTGAGCAGCAAGAGATCCATTTCCAGAGGGTCGTTTCATGTATTGTTCGGATCCCAATAGCTTTAAGAAAACCACTTAGGCTATCTCTGATGGTTTTGCCACATACTTCACAGAGTTAGCCTGGGTCCGGCGATGATAACAATAACACTGGGTTGATATGGCTGTGGATCATGGCACCAGGAGACCGACTGGTTGACCTAAACGTGTCGGTTTCTCACTCGCTACATGGTGGACGACCGTCGGGCCCCGGGTTGAACGGCTCATCCGATTTTATGAGAATCACGTTGAAGCCCGTCAAGGAAAGTTGATGCAGAGGGTTCTGAGACGCAAGCTTGAGCAAAGGTCAAGCTCTTGACACTACAGACTCACCTTAGGCGCCTGAAGTGCGTTGCTTCATCAGTGCTGGACATGGAGACTTCGATCCAATGAACCATTTTCTTTCTGGGAAAGATCCAGGTTACCGGGTGCAGATTTTGGCCTACAGTCATTTGGCTGCGTGTCATGGCACCCGGACCCCTTTCAACCCTGGTAGGTTGACCTAGTTATTGTGGGTTCGTGGGAGGCCCAATCCCAAAACAACCGAAGGGTCCACTGAAAGCAAATCAGAAAGAACCAGGTGTGGGCCAAAGTGAAAAAGCAAGCAAGTGCAGCAATGCCTGTTTTGCAAAGCGCGAGCGGTCATCTAGATGCCTTCGAGTGAAAAGCGAAAGCGGCGCCACCAAGTGAAAAAGGCTCCAACGTCAAGCACCAAATGCGCATCCTCAAAGTCACATCGGGGAAAGAGGACGTTGGCGTTGGAGCTTCTGGACTTTCATCCTTTCCTTTCTTCGTTCCCTTTGGGCTCGGCGGATGCCTGCCCTTCTTTCTTCTTCTTTGGCGTCGCTGGCAGTCTGGATCAGACAGATCTCAGCTGATTCCTTGAAGACCTCAAGGAGTGACCCTGACATGTCCTTAGTCAAGGGGTCGGCCAGCTGACGCCAGGTAGGTGTCCATTTCAAACCCACCACTTCATCCTCGATGAGCTGCTTCATCAGCAGCATGTCCAAGGCTGCTTGTCGTTCCGTGGCAACTCCACCTGTTTTATGCAGGTGGTCATGTAGACCTTTGGCGTCCGTGATCAAGCATCCTTTGGTGCGGATCTCACGGCGCCAGTTTGAGCTGATGTCCAGCTTGCCGAACAGGAAGGAGTCGGCGATCACCCTGTTGAAAAGCTGGCGATCGCCTGCACTGGACATAGCACATCCTTCGGCTGCCAAGCTGCTCCTGACAACTCTTCGGATGCGGTTGGAGTGGAACTCCAAGATGCAGGCTGGTGCTGGCTTGTGGAAGGCATCTGTGCTTGTCAGCAGGTGCAGCTCTCCTTGCTGGGCTTGTCCGCTCTTGGATGTACCAAGAGATGCATCGAAGTAGGAGACGAGGAGCAACTCTCCCTTCATCGGAGGAATTCTTGTCTTGGCCTTTCCTTCTAAGGCCGTCTCCTTCATGCTTTTGAGGACTTTGTTGGCATACTTCAGGTCGCCACCATTGGCTTCGCCCACCCTTTGTGCCAAGTCGCTGACCCGGAACAGGTATTCGGGCAAGACGTGGTGTGCAGGCCACCTCAATTGCATGATTAGCCTTCTGAAGGCTGACAGCTGCTTTCCTTCCAGGGCCTTAGTCTGCTCCGTTTCTTCTGGAGCATATTCCACCTTGTTGATGTACTCCGTCATGTCATCTTCAAAGGTGTGGTCCTTGTAGGTGGTTTTGACCCCCAGGAAGGTTTCTGCTGTCTCCGCCAAATTCTTCCATTCCTTTATGGCGAATCGTTCACTGATCGCCTGGCGGATCTTCTGGGCTTGGCTGGGTGCTGCAACCAGGAGGCCATCATCGACGTGGAGGCAGAGGATCGCCTGCACTTCTTGATTCTTCTTGGACCTCATCACAAAGGTGGCTTTTGCCATGGCCAACTCTTCAAAGCCAATCTCCAGCAAGAGCTCTCGGGCTCGGAGATACCAGAGGCGTGGGGCTTCTGAGAGCCCATAGGCACTTTTGACCACCCTCAAAAGCTCTCCTGGCTTGACGGCTGCTTCACCATGCTCTGGAAGTGCTGGAAGGCCTTCAGGAGGTGCACGAATCAGCACTTCTCTATCAACCTCTTTTCCTGAAAGGAAAGCCGTCGTGACATCGAAGGTGAGGGCCATCCAGTGTTTATATGCACACACTGCCTTGGCCAATTGCACACAGACCCACATCGATGTCGGTGCATCAGACCTGAACTGCCCCAAATGTGGATCCAAGTGGCCAGGGATCACCATCCTTGACTTTGGCTGGAACAGCCCATGCATGGCTCCTTTGTTTACCCGAACAATGCGGGCTGGGGCTTTGAAGATGTTCTTCTTGTTCACCTCCTTGACTTCCTCCGGGTTCAGGCGGCGGATGACTTGGTTCTTCACCCAGGATTCCCATTCCTTTCGGTCACTTTCTTCGAAACCTTTTCTTTCTTCTTGATTGAAGAAGCGAGGATCGAGCTCCTTCCCGTTGGTTTTCATCTGGAGGAGAAGGGCCTCAAAGAAGGCCTGATTCTCGATCTCGCCTTTGGCCAGGTGGTTCCATTCTTCAGCATCTGTCACCATTACCTCATAGAGTCCATCAGGAAGTTCAACCACCACCGGTTGGGCTTTTGCCGGTGGCTTGGTGTCTTCTTGGTGTAGGAAGAGTGTCACCCCCTTCCATAGGTATGGAGTCTTTCTTCCCGGCCGCTTCTTGACCTCTTCTTTACTTTCTTGGCTCACCAAAGCCATTCCTTCCTTCTCTCCCATCATCACCGTCACTCGTGCCATGCCCTTCTGGTTCATTGGCCGTTGAAACCTCTTGCGTGCCCCAAAGTGAAAGCGAGCACTGGCAATGGGCAAGTCGAGGAGGGTTCGAAGCTTCTTGACTTCATTCTTGGAAGCCCATTGATTGGCTCTTTTCCTTTCACCTTTCTGGATGGTGGCCATCATCGTATAGAAGAAGAACGAGGGTCTGAATCTTTTGGCCAGTTGGTCTTCGGTCAGTTGACCTGGTGTCTCCTCGGCTGGTCGCTTCTTGAACTGCTGAGGAACATCATCCAGTAGGTGTTGCTTGAGCCGATCTTGGAACTTTTCTTCTTCGGACTGAGCCAGCCACTTCTTGAAGCCTTCTTGAACTTGCTGCATCTTCTCTTCATACTCAGTCCTTATCTTCTTTTCCTTTTCCTTCTCTTCTTCAGACTTCTCCTTCGGCTCCGTAGTCTTCAGCTGTTTGTCCTGACTGCTATCCAGTTGCAAGCGATCGTCCTTCTTCATCTTGTGCTTCTGGATAGTCTTTATCGTCTTCATACCTCTCAGGGTCTTGGCTATCTCTTTTGCCCTCGTTTTGGGCCTTCCTCCCAAGCGTTGGGAGATGATGCCATCATGCGCCTCCCATCCTTGTGCTTCCTTTGCTGTCACTTCCTCTTCGATTGGGATGGGAGCTTCTGTCATGTCTTCATATCTTTTGTCATCTCCTTGCCATTGACCTTGAAACTCCTCTGTCTCTTGCAGCCTCTTACGGTGATCGCCCCCTTCCAAATTGGAAGCTGCCCTTAGATTGGCAGATGACACCAGCAAACACCTTCCTCGCCAGCTGATAAAGAACCGCTGGTGAGACTCCTTTGCGATCACGAGGGCTGGTCCTCTCCAGAAGCCAGGCTCTTTCTTGAAACGTGTGCTGAGAGGCTTTGGGGCATAGAAGTACACCATCTCTCCTGGCTCAAAGTCTCTCTCTTGCCCTTTTGGCCATCTTCGTAGGGCTCTTCTCAGTTTGGCCTGAACATCACCTCGAAGCAATGTGGCCCGTGCTGCAGCCCTCATCTCTGCTGCCCGCTGCACCTCTCCTTCAAGGGACAGAGACTCCCTCAGTGACATGTTGCCCTCAACATCCTCCTCCAGCAGGTCAGGGAACAAGGGCTGGCGACCGAAGGCAAGTTGATAAGGTGTGTATCCTCCTCGGGTGATGGTTGAGTTCTTGGCTTGGACTGCAGCACACAAAGCATCTTTCACCTGAGCTCTTCCTTCAACCTTATACTGCCAAGCCAGGGACGTGAACATAGTGCCGAGAGTGCTCCATGCCTTTCAGCGAAGCCGTGTTGCCATGCTGATTTTGCACCACTGGACTCGTAGACATTTCTTAGCCACGTGCTCAGCTGCACGATGGCGAAGCAGGACGGCTTGGTGCAGGGATGTGGCTCCGTCAACCATCGACAATGCCACGTATAGCTTGTTCTTGGAATCATGGAGGTACGTCAGGTCACAGTGGAGTTCTTTCCCAAAGATTGTTGTCCTCAGCTCTGGACTCGCCTTGAGATACCTCCCTGGAGGTTGAGTCCTTGACAGGTGGGACACTCATAGTTCATTGCCTTCTCCACTGTTTCTTTTGATGCACCTGCCAGTGACAGCATCTTTGACAAGGTGCGATTGGTGGGATGCCCCAATCGCTGGTGGATGTTCAATCCTCCATGTCTGAGGCTTCTCGACCTTTGCCACTTTCTCCTCCTCATGCTCCTCTTCCAAATCTTCCTCTGGGAAAGAGGGACCTGCCACCAGCACTTCAGGGCTTCTTCCTTCTTCCTTCAAAATCTTCTCGGCTCCTTTGATCACTGCCTTGGCAAATTGGCTAGTATAGCCTCCAGCATAATCCGACACATTCATCCATTTTCCTTTGTAGCGCATGCCCCCGAGCACCGGAGTATGCTCATGTCTTGCCGGACAAAGGCGACCAAGTTGGCGAACAAGCGC